AAGCGGTCGCTGTTCTGTCTGCCTGTCCCTGTGAAATTGGAGAGACATGCACACAGACACCTCTCAGCATTAGTTAGCATACCACATGCCTAGGGTCCTTGGGGCTGGGGTCCATGCTGTGGGAGGAGGTAGGGGGGATTCCTGCTTGAGCAGTGAGGGTAGGGGAAGCCAGGCAGACCCTGTTGTGCCTGCAGTCTTTGCCCGAGCTCCAGCCAGGAAGCAGAGGGGAGGAGCCAGCTCTGCTGTGGAGCAGAGAGCCCCACCCGGCCCAGAGGGCATGCTAGGATGCTGGGGGAATCTGGTTAATCTTAAACCAGCAAGGGGTCTGAGACAGACATTGCATAAACTAGTTTGACCCAAATCAGTTAAGTCTGATACTACATTCAACCTGTTTTAGCCATTTTCAAACTGGTTTATGGGCACTGAACATCTGTTCTGTTACAGGTTTAAACCCATTTCTGATGACTTAAGCCAGTTAATGTGTAATGTCTGTCCCTAGCCTCTGAAAACAGTGACGGGCTGGCAGGCAGCACAGATAGAAGTTACAGAAGACACTTGGTTTTGAAATGTCTTCATCTGACCCCTCATGCAATGATTGGCCATTTTTGAAACTCTCTGCAGCTGTGCACTCATGTTTGGTCACAGCTATAGACTGTGTGGCCAGATCATCCAGCAAAAATTGTCACTGTAAACCCACAGACTAACCTACCTAATGAGGACGGTTTTAAACTAGTTCCAACAGGGGATGGAGACAAAAGCCCACAGTTAAGACCTAGGAATAGGAGGAAACATGGGAAATCTTAACCAGTATGTTTGAGGGAAATCACCAGGTCAATCAGCTAATCATCTCAAATGTAGTATGGGGTATGGGAAGTAAATAGGAGAAACTGAAAGGCCTAGTATGCACACATGCTTATGATCTCATTAGAATAACTAAGACTGCTGTAGTTCACACAACTAGTAAAATGACATGAATGGACACAGCTTGTTCAGGAAGGACAATAGGGAAAAAAAGGAGGAGGTGTTGCTTCATATGCTGAACATACAGACACTTAGTTCTGAGGTCCAGAATGAACTGGAAGGTAGGTTTGTTGAAAATCTCTGGGTTAAGGCAAAAGGGGAAGCCATAAGGCAGATGTTATGGTGGGTGTCATCTGAAGATCTCCAACCAGGAGAAAAATCTGACGCTTATGGTGATTTTAATTATTGCTGGGAGGTGCAGTGGTGCAGAGGCAGTTCAGCAAGGTTTTAGACTATTCTGGGGCCAATTTTTTGTACAGAGGATGGAGAAACCAACTGATGAGATGGACCTCATAAAGTGGGGAGGAATTGATTGACAGTAAGAAAGGGGAAGGCAACTTGGCTGACAGTGGTCATGAAATGACAAATTCATTATACTCAGGAAAAGAAAGAAGTGGAACAACAGAATAACAAAACAGGAATTGAAGAAAACAAACTTTAAGAAACTCAGTGAAGTGGCAGATCTCCCATGGGAAGGAAGTGTAAGGGGAAAAGGAGGACAGGACACCTGACTGTTCCTAAAAAAAGACAAAATTAAGGGCAGAAGAGCATGCTTTTCACAGGAAGGAAAAGGAACATAGCAAAGAACCTGCTTGGCTAAGTCATGAGCTCCTCAATAGCTTGAAACTTATAAAGGAACCTTACAAAAAGCGGAACGTTTGCTGTGATACTAAGGATGAGCAGAAATGTTTATTCTGAGTACGTAAAATCAGAGGCCGTGTCCAGATGCGTGCAGCCGTGCAGTATGTGGCGCTGCAAACATGTCTGCAGAGCCACATACAGCACATTTAGATGTTCTCATGCAGATGCACCCATGCGCATTAACATGGTGTGTATCCATTGATCCACACTGCCCTAATGCACATTAGCACATCTACATGTGCACTAATGCAACTTAGCTATTTGTGCCTAAATTTGATACCTGCTTTATGCAGGTATCAAATTTAGGCTCACATAGCCTTAAATTGCCATTTTTAAGGCACATTTTTAAGGGTTTGCACATGTAGACATGCACCCTTAATGCACCTTAAATGGTGCATTAAACAGGCTAAGCCTGTTTGAAAGAGGTACATGTAGATGCGCCCAACAACAATTATTAGACTCTAGGGAACAGAACATGTGAAGAAAAGCTAGAAGAACTGGGGTTCCTTAGTGTAGAGGAGAGAAGACTGTGTGTGACTGTATTAAATGTTCAAACACAGAAAGGGTTGTTATAAGAAGGATGGTGATAAATTGTTCTGGGTATCCACTGGGACAGGCCAAGAAGTGATAGGCTTAAATTTCAACAAGGGAAAGTTGGGTTGGGTATTAGGGAAGAAACTTCTAAGAATGAGAGTAGTTAAACACTGGATTACTGAGAGAGGTGGTGTAATCTCCATCACTAAGTTTTTAAGTGCAAGTTAAACAAACACTTGGCTGGGATGACTTAGCGAGGGATGCTTCTGTCTTAAGCTGGGAGTTGTCCTAGGTCTGATCCAGAATGAGAGGCACTTGGTCAGTGTCTCGTACATCTTGGTGTCTTTAACTGTCCAAGGAGAGAGTCCAGTGTGAGCAAAGATATTTGCTATGGCCAGAGTAGGAGTCTGCACCCTGTAGTTTTTTTCTCAGTTCATGCAAGCCTGTTTCCAAGTGTTAGCTTTTCAAGGAGTTCTCTACTGGAATCACAAGAGCTTGTGCAGACATTATGCTATTTTTAAATGATCCCATGCTGGCTTTTTAAGTATTGCCTCTGCTTAAACACTGCCTGTTTTCTGTTTCTTCAACTGGCCAGTGCTTGAGCACTGCGTACAAGCTGGGGAGAACGACTCTGTAAATAAAGTGATCCACAACAGTAATTTTACATACAGCTGCTCAAAAAGGCCTTCAGCTTATGGGGTAAGGTCCCTTGGACAAGATCCAGTGAAGGAAAAAGAGGGTCTCATTCCCGCCTACCTGCCAGGAGAGTTCTGATCTTGTCAGGTACAGATTTCAGTGGTAGTTGAGAGGTCAGCACCTTTCAGGATTGAACCCCAGGTGAGGGAGAATTTAACAGGAGTGGTTAGAAGTTTCCAATGTCCCTCCTGGAAACACATGCCACAGTGTAAGCTGGGCTTTTCAGAGACCTGATTTGTGGTTTTCCTCCCAGATCAGATGAAATTGGCTACAAAAACTGCAGGGTAGGGGGAGGCAGGATAAAATAGAAATCTTGTCCTTCAGTAGGGGGAGAGCTGAAAGGCTCTCTAGTAGCCAGGGAAGGACTGGGGTGGAGATTGTTCCTGTCCCTGCTGCTAGAAGGGAACAGAGAGAGTCTTAGAGAAAAGCAGCAGTGGTTACAAGAGTTTTTTCCAGGGGCTGGTCCAGGGCTGGCATGGGCCCATGCTGAGTGATAAGAAACTGGGAAGGGAATCCAGGAAGGACACTGCTGGAGTTTCAAAGGAGGAGGCTCCTTTGAGTGAGATATGGAAAAGAGAAAGGAAGTGGCCCTGGGGGAGGGCAGTTGCTCCATGGTACAGGGGCACAAGGCTACAGTGAAGAATCATGGTGGGGCCTGGGCTCCTTTGCTACGCCAATTCACAGTGGAGAGGAAGGAGAGGTCGTGGCCTGGGGATGGGGCAGGGTGGCAGCATGGGAACAGCATCTCACTACAGCTCTAGAGATGTGAGTCTGAGCTCTGCCCTGGACTCATGCCAAAGGTTGCCTTTAGCTGTTAATGAGTGCCTAATTACTTGAGCTGGGGGGCCATATCAGTCCCTTGTACCACTGGCTGTAGAAGCTGTGCATCTTGACCAAGCTAGGCTAATGAGTTGCCAGGTCAAATGGTTCCTTGACCAGAGGCAAGGGAAAAGGAAGCATGGCGTTGTTTCTGAGACAAGGAGAGACACTGACACTTGCAATCCAGGGAAAGGACATGTACGCTACAACCTCCACTACAGGACAGTTGCTGAGGAGACTTAATATGGGCAACTTCTTATTGGGCTTTATTTTGGGGAAACTTGGGGCTTTGATACTAAGAAATCAGAAGAAGTGCCTCCTGAGGAGATGAACTGAGGTACAGGAAGTGGGCAACGTGGGCACATCTGCACACCTAATTCGGGAGGTAAGTTATCCCTTGGTGCAGGGTTACTACAATGCCCAAAGGCACCTATGGAGGCCTGGCGTGAGGCTTATCTGGGATTTTCTGTATGTCCCTATATTCATAAAGAAACAACAACACAGTGCCATAAAATCTTTGTGCCAGGATGAGGCCAGGTATTAACTAGCCACCTCCTTTGTTTGCACCTCCTTTGTTTGGACCTCCTTCCCCTACACTTTGTCTTTTTCTCTCAGCCTTTTTGGACCAGTGGACCACTGTCAACCCTCAATATTTTTCACAGATCACTGTGTCCCCTTATTGTCTAACTTTTAACTGAAAACACAATTAAGATATTCAGGGACAACAGTATATGATCAATGGACCAGTTATAGTGACTCTGGAGAGCACTAATGATCTGTGGATCACAGTTTTAGGAATCACTGCTGTAGTGTGCAAGCTATTTTAGGCAGTGACTGTGCCTTCTTTCAGGTTTGCTCACTACCTCATATGTTGTGGACCATGGGAGGAACAAACAGTAAGTACCATACCAGACACAAATAGGAGCATAGGATATGATCTTGGGAGAATAATCAAATCCTAGGCTTTGGTTTGTAGATTATATAAATAAGCGCCAAAGCCAGCGTTGCAGGTGGATGAGAACCTTATCAAAGCTCAGCACCTTTCAGAACCGGTGTTTGGTTTAATCTGATTTCCTAAGCATTTCAGGCAGGAGCACAGGAAGCTACAGGAAGCTGAATTGCCATTGGGATTGCAGCTCACTACAAGCAGAACTGGACTATGAGGGCTATCCATTTCTGAATACTCTCTACTAGCCAAACTTTTGGTTGGCCTGAAATGTCAGAGAAGATGTTAGAGGTGAATGGGTAGTGAATTAGGAAGAGAGCACAGTACCCAGGGCTGAGCTCCAATGAGCTCTAATTTGTCTTTCAGGGCTTAATAAACCCAGTTAATGATGTGTTGCATGACAAGAGTATTCCTCACCTAGGCCATTCAACGTTCCCACGCTGTTGATCATCCAGTGGCTGATGGTGTGATTTGCCAGGGAGTCAAACATGCTACTCAGTGCACTTGCACCGGCTGCGGTGCCAATCAGGTACTCCAGGATCAGGTTCCAGCCAATGAAGAATGCCACAAACTCCCCCACTGTCACATAGCTGTAGGTGTAGGCAGAGCCCGTGGTCTTCGGGACCCGCACTCCAAACTCGGCATAACAAACACCTGTGGAAAAAAAATACACACACCTATGAGAAAATGCAGGCTGCTGAGACAGGAGAGGGGAGGGAAGAGAGGGTGCAAGGGAGACTTGGCCGGGGGGAGGGCAGGGTGGGGGTGT